ACCAGCCATGTCTTGTGTCGTTATTAAACAAACACAAAAATATATATATATTTTTTTTAACGTTTCATGTTGTCACACGGAAGTCCGACAGAACACGAAAGCTACGCATTCTCACGGTACGTAATCAACTCTTCTCATGTGTAGCGAGGCTACTCCCCCCTCGCAAACGAGCATTTGCTCCGGAGCAAATTGTAGCGTTCACACGTACCATTTTACATCGGTGCTGCCCCGCAAACGAGCATTTGCTCTAGAGCAAATTTTTAAACCACCTCCCTGAGGTGGATCAAATTTGCTCCAGTGTAAGCTGTTTTCCGGGGCTATGCCGGAGCAAATTTGCACGTGTGAACGCTCTACTGGTGCAGCACCGGCGTAGTGCCGGAGCAAATCTTGCCATGTGAACACCCCTTTAGTCATCAAACCGAAAGGTGCTAAAAACGGAAGTGTCATGGCACCCATAGTTTTATTTTGGGTCCCTTCCCAATGGAAAAAGGAAAAAAATTGTATTGTCTTGAAGTGGCCCGCTTGGTGGCTTCATGGCCTTTCCTGCAGCTCCTTGTTTTTACGAAACCACATAATTGATGATTGGCCGTTTTGTGAGGAAGGTTGGAGACACACGGTCGGCAGAAGTGGGCGTTCCATCACTGCTGACGGAAGGTCGGTTAACCCGTCACTGACGGATGCCCGTTTTGCTGACAAATGACGGGACATTAGAAAAAGGGACGGATTAAGCACAGTCAGAAGTGGCTTTTCCTCCATCAATGGTATTGTCACCAACCGGGTTAGTACTGACGGAATCTCTCTGTCCATCACTAACAGACTCCTTTTTAATTGACAACATACTGAAAAATGCGTCTTGCATGTGTTTGTTGGCCGTTGACGAAGTGTAATTTGGCGATGACGGAAGCACGCTTAAAATCATGACGGAGTGACACACTGACAATTACAGTTTGGTTCGGCTTGAAATAATGATGGATGGGTGGCCAAGCCGCTGTTGAATGACGGAGCCGAAAAATTTACTGATGCGCCCACCTCTGGAAGTCAGCATCACACTACTGTCGGGCTCTGTCTGTTTACTGTTTACACTAGTAGCAGGGCTAACACCATAACAAAGTAACCATGCTTTAATATCGTCACTCTGATCACGCTTGAACATGCAGCAGACACACACACCACTGAACAAATATAACGTGCATAAATGATATGAGCGACACGCGAACTGGAGTTTCTTGTGGATATAATAATAAATGCTCTTGCGATGCGAGGGCCCGGTCTCATTCGGCGGGGTCGTCACAGTGCGTAGAGCCGATCAGCTTCATCTGGGCCCGCCAATGACCACGGTCATGAGCCAGGTCCGCTGCGTCCTCCAGGGTAAGGCCCTGGTGCTTGAGGTCCTCCCTGATGACATCAAGCCATCTGGTGTGGGGTCTGCCACGTGGCCTTTTCCAGCCGGCTGTAGCTGGGTCAAATGAGAAGATGGCACGAGTGGGGTGTTCCAGGGGTAATCGGAAGAGATGTCCAAGCCAACGGATGCACCTCTGGGCGGCCAGTCGAGATGTGGGGGGCTGCAGTGTACGTTTTCGAGGGTCTGAATTAGTAGCATGGAGGTGCCAGCTGATGTTCATGATAGTTCTGAGTCAGTGGCTGATGCTAGTCTGTCAAGGAGGGGAAGCTCAATTTTGGCCTACATCATAAAATGTGTGCCTTTTTTTTTTTTTAACAAGGCGTCTTTTCAAGAGTCTTAACTGTGGTGATATAAGTCAGTCAGCGAACACAAGCAATTACAATAAAACCCACCAGAAATAAAAGATTAATTTGTCACGAGTCGTTTTGAAAAAAGAGAGTGTCGCGAAGATGATTGGAAGAAGTCTCCAGTTCCACTCAGAACAGAATGAGAATTGAAAAATACTCCCACGGATCCCTACACCAAAAGATCGGTGATTGGCTCGTTTCGCTGTCAATCAAAAGAGATTCCGCCTCAGACAGATCATCCAATCATCATGCAGAAAAGCTGAGCGTCCCGGCCCGCCCATAAACGCCCACTGTCCATAGACTCCCAGAGACGCTGAG